TGTAGTGTTCATCACGTTCGCCTTACACGCGAAAGGTCCCTAGCTCGAAACTGGGCGGAAACAGACAGAGGCTTTTGTTCTATCTGTGCTGAAATGGCTCTCTGGTAAGCAGGTGGTCCAAGCTGCAAAGACCTTAATTTCGAGATAGGAGAAGGCAAGTTTTTAAGGAACTCTGAGCAGACTGCCACGCCGAATGAACTCTGTCCTACTGTGTGTGGGATTTACTCAGATTGTCAATCTGTTTTCAGAGCAGTTTACAGTATAAATTTTACCCGAAACAACAAGAAAGTAAAGTTTCTGTAGTGTACTGGTTATCACGTTTGCCTCACACGCAAAAGGTCCCCAGTTCGAAACTGGGTGGAAACAACAGAGACTTTTTCCAAGATTGCTTAAGTCGGGGGTCTGTTGCTTTCTCACGCAACTACAAAAGGATAAGCCTGCCTACAGGTGTTAAAGCAAAAGAGGTTTTCAGACCGGTTTCTGTAGTGTAGTGGTCATCACGTTCGCCTTACATGCTAAAGGAGCTCAGCTCGATTTAGCCAAAAACTCAAAAAGTCCCCGGTTCGAAGCTGAGCAGAAACAGAGTTTTATTTTTGAGAGAACGCTTAAACTCTTTGTGACATTCAAGAACAATTCCTGTTGTTTCTCCAGATAAGTTTCCGTAGTGTAGTGGTTATCACGATCGCCTCACACGTGAAAGGTCCCCAGTTCGAAACTGGGGACATTTTTTAGCTGGGGTCGAAGTCGGGGGTCTGTTGCTCTCTCACGCAACGCTGTTTTCCGACAGGTTTCTGTAGTGTAGGGGTCATCACGTTCGCCTTACACGCGAAAGGTCACCAGTTCGAAACTGGGTGAAAACAATGATGACTTTTTCCAAGGTTGCTTAAGTTGCGGTCTATTGCATTCTCACTTAACGCTACAAAAGGCTTCGCCTGCCTAGAAGTGTTAAAGCAATAGAGGTTTTCTGACAGGTTTCTGTAGCGTAGTGGTCGTCACGTTACCCTAACATGCAAAAGGTCCTCGTTTGGAAGCTGGCCAAAAAAAGAGTTTTATTTTTGAGGGACTGCATAAACTCTTTGCGACGTTCCAGGAGATTTGCGGCTGTTTTCTCCAGGTAAGTTTCCGTAGTGTAGAGGTTATCACGTTTGCCTTACACGCAAAAGGTCCCCAGCTCGAAACTGGGCGGAAACAACAGTGACTTTTTCCAAGGTTGCTTAAGTCAGGGGTCTGTTGCTTTCTCGCGCAACGCTACAAAAGGATAGGTCTGCCTACATTTGTTAAAGCAAAAGAGGTTTTCCAACAGCTTTCTGTAGTGTAGTGGTCATCACGTTCGCCTTACACGCGAAAGGTCCCTAGCTCGAAAATGGGCGGAAACAGACAGAGGCTTTTGTTCTATCTGTGCTGAAATGGCTCTCTGGTAAGCAGGTGGTCCAAGCTGCAAAGACCTTAATTTCGAGGTAGGAGAAGGCAAGTTTTTAAGGAACTCTGAGCAGACTGCCACAAAGGCTTCACCTGCCTAGAGGTCTTAAAGCAAAAGAGGTCTTCAGACAGGTTTCTGTAGTGTAGTGGTTGTCACGTTAGTCTAACAGGCAAAAGTTCCTTGGTTCGAAGCTGAGCAAAAAAAGTTTTATTTTTGAGGGAACGCATAAACTCTTTGCGACGTTCCAGGAGATTTGCTGCTGCTTTCTCCAGATAAGTTTCCGTATGTGCTGAAATGGCTCTCTGGTAAGCAGGTGGTCCAAGCTGCAAAGACCTTAATTTCGAGGTAGGAGAAGGCAAGTTTTTAAGGAACTCTGAGCAGATTGCAGACGGAGGCTTTTGTTCTATCTGTGCTGAAATGGCTCTCTGGTAAGCAGGTGGTCCAAGCTGCAAAGACCTTAATTTCGAGGTAGGAGAAGGCAAGTTTTTAAGGAACTCTGAGCAGATTGCAGACGGAGGCTTTTGTTCTATCTGTGCTGAAATGGCTCTCTGGTAAGCAGGTGGTCCAAGCTGCAAAGACCTTAATTTCGAGGTAGGAGAAGGCAAGTTTTTAAGGAACTCTGAGCAGATTGCAGACGGAGGCTTTTGTTCTATCTGTGCTGAAATGGCTCTCTGGTAAGCAGGTGGTCCAAGCTGCAAAGACCTTAATTTCGAGGTAGGAGAAGGCAAGTTTTTAAGGAACTCTGAGCAGATTGCAGACGGAGGCTTTTGTTCTATCTGTGCTGAAATGGCTCTCTGGTAAGCAGGTGGTCCAAGCTGCAAAGACCTTAATTTCGAGGTAGGAGAAGGCAAGTTTTTAAGGAACTCTGAGCAGATTGCAGACGGAGGCTTTTGTTCTATCTGTGCTGAAATGGCTCTCTGGTAAGCAGGTGGTCCAAGCTGCAAAGACCTTAATTTCGAGGTAGGAGAAGGCAAGTTTTTAAGGAACTCTGAGCAGATTGCAGACGGAGGCTTTTGTTCTATCTGTGCTGAAATGGCTCTCTGGTAAGCAGGTGGTCCAAGCTGCAAAGACCTTAATTTCGAGGTAGGAGAAGGCAAGTTTTTAAGGAACTCTGAGCAGATTGCAGACGGAGGCTTTTGTTCTATCTGTGCTGAAATGGCTCTCTGGTAAGCAGGTGGTCCAAGCTGCAAAGACCTTAATTTCGAGGTAGGAGAAGGCAAGTTTTTAAGGAACTCTGAGCAGATTGCAGACGGAGGCTTTTGTTCTATCTGTGCTGAAATGGCTCTCTGGTAAGCAGGTGGTCCAAGCTGCAAAGACCTTAATTTCGAGGTAGGAGAAGGCAAGTTTTTAAGGAACTCTGAGCAGATTGCAGACGGAGGCTTTTGTTCTATCTGTGCTGAAATGGCTCTCTGGTAAGCAGGTGGTCCAAGCTGCAAAGACCTTAATTTCGAGGTAGGAGAAGGCAAGTTTTTAAGGAACTCTGAGCAGATTGCAGACGGAGGCTTTTGTTCTATCTGTGCTGAAATGGCTCTCTGGTAAGCAGGTGGTCCAAGCTGCAAAGACCTTAATTTCGAGGTAGGAGAAGGCAAGTTTTTAAGGAACTCTGAGCAGATTGCAGACGGAGGCTTTTGTTCTATCTGTGCTGAAATGGCTCTCTGGTAAGCAGGTGGTCCAAGCTGCAAAGACCTTAATTTCGAGGTAGGAGAAGGCAAGTTTTTAAGGAACTCTGAGCAGATTGCAGACGGAGGCTTTTGTTCTATCTGTGCTGAAATGGCTCTCTGGTAAGCAGGTGGTCCAAGCTGCAAAGACCTTAATTTCGAGGTAGGAGAAGGCAAGTTTTTAAGGAACTCTGAGCAGATTGCAGACGGAGGCTTTTGTTCTATCTGTGCTGAAATGGCTCTCTGGTAAGCAGGTGGTCCAAGCTGCAAAGACCTTAATTTCGAGGTAGGAGAAGGCAAGTTTTTAAGGAACTCTGAGCAGATTGCAGACGGAGGCTTTTGTTCTATCTGTGCTGAAATGGCTCTCTGGTAAGCAGGTGGTCCAAGCTGCAAAGACCTTAATTTCGAGGTAGGAGAAGGCAAGTTTTTAAGACTCAGATTGTCAATCTGTTTTCAGGGCAGATTACAGTATCGATTTTACCCGAAACAGGAAGAAAGTAAACTTTTTGTAATATAGTGTTCGTCACGTTAACCTAAGAGGCAAAACGTCCTCAGTTCGTAGCTGAGCAGAAACAGAGTTTTATTTTTGAGGGAATGCATAAACTCTTTGCGACTTTGCAGGAGATTTACGGCTGCTTTCTCCAGATAAATTTCCATAGTGTAGTCGTTATCACTTTTGCCTCACACGCAAAAGGTCCCCAATTCGAAACTGTGCGGAAACAATGGTGACTTTTTCCAAGGTTGCTTAAGTTGGGGGTCTGCTGCTTTCTCACGCAACGCTACAAAAGGATAAGCCTTGCTAGAGGTGTTAAAGCAAAAGAGGTTTTCCGACAGGTTTCTGTAGTGTAGTGGTCATCATGTTCGCCGTACATGTGAAAGGTCCCCAGCTCGAAACTGGGCAGAAACAGGCAGAGGCTTTTGTACTCTCTGTGCTGAAATGGCTCTATGGTAAGCAGGTGGTCCAAGCTGCAAAGACCTTAATTTCGAGGTAGGAGAAGGCAAGGTTTTAAGTAACTCTGAGCAGATTGCCACACCGTATGAACTCTGTCCTACTGTGTGTGGGATTTACTCAGATTGTCAATCTGCGTTCAGGGCAGATTACAGTATAAATTTTACCAGAAACAGCACGAGAGTAAACTTTTTGAGTTTTTGTAGTATAGTGGTCATCTCGTTAGCCAAAAACGCAAAAAGTCCCCGGTTCGAAGCTGAGCAGAAACAGAGAATTATTTTTGAGAGAATGCTTAAACTCTTTGTGACGTTCCAGAATAATTC